GTTTGACCCAACTTGTGAGCCAGGGCAAGCTCAAGCATGTTTGGCATCTGCTAAACTTTAATGGTGGAAACTGCTAGATTCAGAGGTTTGAATCATGCCAGGCTTCTAGTATGAATAAGGCAATGTTATTTCTCAATTTGTTGTGCTCTGACAGCCTTTCATATTTTTATTTAAAGATTCAAAACAAATTTGAGAATTGTTTAATACACATAAAGGAAGGAGAGAGACTAAACCAGTGGTCACCAACTGGTGGTTCGTGGACCACTGGTAGTCTGCTTGAAAATGTTGATGATCCACAGAAAAATTATTTGAATTTCTTATATTGCACTAAATCAGGGTTCCTCAAACTACGGCCCCTGGAATGGGTACATGCAATGAATGTTTGTGTTGCTGAAGGGTCTCCCTCATCGGGGTCTTTTTGTGTGGGTTAGATGGAGTAGTGGGTTCTCAATCCTGTTGCAAACAGTATGGTGTAACGGGACCCAGCATCCACCACATGAACATGCGCAGTGTTCTTACCTCTTGCAATGCTTCCGCGATGCTCCAGCTGCTTGTCGGAGTGTCACGCAGGCGCTGTATGCTCCCTTTATATGTGTGGCTGGGCTGCGGCCGCACACTTTCTCCTTTCTGCCCTCCAGAGGAGGCGGAGGCGGAGCGTCTCCTCAGACTGGCCAGCCACACATGCTCTCCACCACCCCCTCACAGCAAGCCAGCTACGGCCTCACCAAGGCGGCTCCAACGGGATGGTGGCGGTGTCAGCCTGAGGTGCAGCGGAGCTAGGGCGGCCCCTGGGTGCCCCGTGAGGCGGCACACCCAGGACTTCTCCTCCTCAGAGATCCTGGACATCTCACTCTCCCGGGCCACCGACTTGGGGGAGCCCTAGCGCAGCTCCTCTGAGGAGATGCTCAACAACTTCCACGAGGCCAACAGCCCTGGCACTGTCTCCCCCAACCAGTCTTGCCCAGGCCAGCAGCCCCGAGTCCTGACCAACGGCAGCACCCACCTGCCACCCCACTACGCCCAGACTGGGCCACAGCAACGCGTGGCCGGGAACAACTAGTGAAACAATAAAGAACAATACGGAGATAAGGAACTGTCAAAAAATAAAGAAGTGAGTGTAGAAGATGTTCAACAAATGGGGGGAAAGAAAAAGATGAACATAATATTCAGAAAAGAGATGAGAAACCAGAAAAAGTGGGGGAGGAGACAAAGCAAAATAAGATACAAGAAGATGAAGAGAATGAAGAGAAAGGAATAAATAAGCATGAATCAAATAGATATTCCCTTAAGAGTTTATAATAGAACAGAGAGAAAAAAGAAAAATCTCCTCCAAAAAAAGAAAGGGCTATCAGTTGGTGCTCAAAGGATGTATGCAGAAGGAGACAAGGGGTCAAAGGCCAAAGGCAATATTTAATGGGTATAAAAATGTTAGAAAGAGATATAAGATTCCAAGAAAAAGAAAGAAAAGAGTGACCAAAAAGTAAATAAATGATGGGAATTATGGAAGAGGGTAAAAATGATGGATAGAGATAAAAGATAAAAAGTAGAAACCACAGTGGAAAATAGCAGCATACATATCAATAAATAATAGAATTTATTATAATCATTAAAAATAAGGTTAGAAGTTGTAAGTCTAAGATTAAGCAACCGAATTGTATTATTGTTATTAACAGTGTGTAAAAACTATATTGGAAACTATAATTATTAGGGACTAGAAATTTTGTGGACTTTGAGATATAATCCTGATTAAATTTTGTTAATTATTGGTTTTATTAGTGTTTCTAGATATTTCAGATATTGGAATTATGATGGAATTGAGTCATTTTTAAAATATTAAAGTATTAAAGATTCAGCAGAGGACAACAAACACGAATAAAGAAATGTTAGTGATGTTTAATTGAAAAATGTGATGAAGAATTGTTGGAAGAAATGTCCTTCTGGTTTCAGTTCCAAGTGGGGAAAGACACTGGAAACATGGAGGCTGCTTGGAAAGATGGCTTAATGGTGGACAGGACCACATAACTGGAATCCTGAACAGAAAAGGGGGATCACATGCTTTCAGATTTTGGGTAAAGATGATAGAGAAAAGAAGGGGCTTGCTGGGTTTTTTATACTCTCTGTTCGTCCCCACTTCTCTACTTCCAGATGTTGGGTGAAGAAGAAAAAGAGAGCAAGATGCTGAAAGTTCCTGGTTTTATGCCCTCTCTAGGCTTTGATCTCGAGCTTGTATTCTGATTGGTTGTCAGACTCCTATGGGGCCATCCATGGGCAACTCTGTATGCTGTGAGTCCACATTTGGTTGAGCATTGCTTCTTCCCAGGTGCCCTGTGGTGAGATGGTAAAGGGCTAATACTACCATGCCTTAATTCCATCACCCTGGAGCTGAAGGAGGAGATCTTTGTTATGTAGAATAGACTGGCTCAAGCATTTTAATGGCCCATTGACAAAAGTGAGGGCTATTAAGAGTGAGTCTGTTTCCTGCCTAAAAACGTGTTTCTCATTTCTTATTCAGGGAAATATGATATTCCACCTTTTCAATATTTCCCAGGATTTCATTTTTCTAGGAGAGAGGTGGGTTTTAACTTCCTACAGAATCATAAAGATAGAAGGGTATTGCTGAAGTTGGATTATGTATATTTAATGGTATTATTACTGTTAGCACTTTGTAAAAAGAATATTGATTCAGTCAATGTACTATGTACAAAATATGTACGTTGTTAAAGGAAAACTACTGTGGGAAGTGTACCCCGGAGGGGGGGACATTGTCAGGCATCTCACAGCACCAGAAACTTCAGAAAACAGTGCCAAGAGACTCAAGACTGGGAGCGAACCAGGGAAATTTCTTCCAACACTACAAATAAAACATATAGTACAAAAAAAGGGGAAAACACGTATATATATATTTGCTCTTCCCTCCCATAAAAGCAGCCATGTGGGGTGGGGTGTTTGCTTTTGAGATTGGTGCTGCAAGAGAATGGTAAATTTTATTCTTCCATGAGACTTTCTGGGGTGAAGTCATACTTTCTTTAAAACTATCTTGTCTGCTGTAAGCTTCTGGAGCAGCTCCTTAATTGGGGAAATAATAGAATTAATCACCCTCTGGCAACTCCACAGTTTGAGTAAATCCCTTTACAGCTGCTGAAGACTAGCTTCTATCTTCAAATATTCTATTTCAGATCAATCTAAAGAGTAAACCTACATTTGTTTTAGATAACAGCAAACCTATATTGTTTTTAAACTGCACTGTTTCACTTTTTAAAAGCACACAGTCTTAGTGGTACTAATGGAAAGGAAGAAATTGAAAAGTTTGAATGTTTTTCTGTTTAAAAATATGTGCTTATTATCTGGCAGAGAAAAAAGGATTTGTAGAAGAGAGCTCTACAAAGCTATCCATAACCCAATACAAAATCAATAATGAGACAAGCTGGACAGAATGTCACTTTCAGTAACTGCAAATCTCATTATTCAAAAATAGCTAAGGAGAAACAAGAGTTAACAGCATAAGAAGAAGCTGAAAAAGCCCCCAAACTGATCCAGTCCACATCCTGTTTCCCACAATGACTAACCAGAAGGGAAGCTCCAAGTCAGGTCATGAAGCACGCAAACACACACACACACACACACACACACACACACACACAAACAGAGAGAGAGAGAGGGAGAGAGGGAGAGAGAGAGAGATTCATGCACGGATGTTCCTTGTTACTTAATAATACAGAGTATGAATCTGCAGGCTTGGTGCATGTGATACTCAACTACTGTCTTTGGTTACTGAGAGCTAATCTACATATGTTGTAAATTACTAAATTCAATTTCCAAAATGATTATTTCAGGTCAAGGTGGCAAATTGCAGACATCAATAAAACTGTATATAATCTGAAGAAGGGGATAACATGAGGTGAATGCATATTTGGTTTATGGATTTGTAGCTGAAAGCATAATATGAATACCGCCCGAGGAACATTCCTGGAGTTGACATCCACAGACCCTAACGTTATCAAAGTTGTACTACAGAGAGACTCCAGAAAGCCTCATTGGTAAAGGGATTGGAACATTGCCCTTCAGCTTCACTGCCATCATTGTAAAGAACCTGGCAACTAAAAGTGCGGGCCTTCAGCTCTGCAATGAAAGAATACCTGGATTTAAGCAATGTTGTTTTTAAATTTAAATTAACCTATGTACCTGCTATGTGCTACTGACCTAGCAATCCAGAATCTGTAAGTGCTAGTTCTAATCAGAGAGAATAAAAACCTTTTGTTTCTTCAAAATAATTATTTTTCACATACATTGGGTGTCACACCCCTTTGATTTTGCTTCAAGGTCACCTGGAAGCCAAGGCGTTCTCTACAATAGTGATTCCTATCGGGAAGTATTTCAATTTATTAGCGTTCTCGTGTTATCTTAATTTAGATCACGTCACCTCATTTCTTGGGGCTGCAGGAAAGAGCCAGCATTACCGTGCTTGACCTGCAGTAATTCTCACAAACGCTAGTCGAAAATATATTTGGCCAGTCTGAGTCTCAGTAGATGGTGAAGACTGCCTCAGTGATTTAAGAATGATGCCTTTTATTGTCCCGGGTTTCCTACTGCCCTGCAAAGTTTCAGATCTCTTGGTACCCGTTCCCATTCCCGCCCTCAGCTTTCCATTCTCCGAGAAATAAATACTACACCATCCTGTTCCAGTGACGCTTTTGGTAACATACTTTATGCTTTTCATGAAGCATTTCAATGTTGGCAGCCAACTACAACTTCGTTTCCAGCCAAAGGAACGAGGAAAGAGAACGCTCCCGGAGTGACTGACCGGCCGTCCCTTCCCGGCCAAGCCAGCCCACGTGATGAAATATACCGCCGCCGCCGCCTCCCCCCCCCCCCCCCCCGGGGAAAAAAAACCCCCCCCCCCCCCCCCCCCCCCCCCCCCCGGAAAGGGTGGCACTTTCTTGGGCAACCGGCAGGGCCTTGCCGTGCCCCTCCCCCGCTCCTGGACTGGGCGGAGAGAGCGGTGGCGGGGCAAGAGCCCGGTTAAGCAAGCTGAGCAGACGGCTAGTTCAAGGCGCCAAAAGCTTTCTCTAAGCTCTCTCCTAAACGCGCCCTGGGCGCCTCAACCAACCCAGCCCAATCCTTCCTTCCTTTTCCTTCCTTCCTTCCTGCCCTGCTTTTACTGCGCAGACCCAAGCTACGGATGCCGTTCCCCGGCGGCTTATGGTGGCTGCTGTGCTGCAGGCAAGGTTTCACCTTGCTGCGACGTGACTACTGTGAGGCAAGCAAGGGGGTGGCCGGAGAGGAAGAAGTTGAAGAATCCTTTGAATTACGCATGCAAGGCGATGAGGTGAGCTGTGCGCGGGCGGGAGGAACATCAGAACTTCGTTCCATTCTTTTGGGAATTCTATCAAGAGCTAGAAGGAAAAACTATGATTTTTGTGGTCTGGGAAGAAAATGCGTGCCTCGATGTGTTCCACACCCCTCTGCTGGGGATTCAAAAGATCTTATGCAAATACTAACGATGCAATAATAAAAAGAGAGTAAAGTGGTCATTGGAAATTTTTCCGGTTTGGAAGGTCTTCTGATACCACTAAGTATCAATTTAGAACGTGCTCACTGACTGGATCAGTCAGATTAAATGTGGGCCAACATTCTTCTTTGATTGCTTTATTTTAAAGAGTTGCAAAGGAACATGCCTTGATGTTGCCTTTCTAGCCTGGTGTCCTTCAAAGCTACTGGCATTGCAGTATAGCTGTCATTAATAAGATACGTTCATATGTTCAGATTCATTGTTGGAAGAAATGATATTATTCTGGTGGAGGAGTTCTATCTTTTGTTGTTAGTTTAATTCTCATCCTATTTTCCCCCCTTTTAATTTGATTGATTTTCTCAGTGTTAATCCACAAGGATTCTATTATATTTCGGTAGCTAACTGATTTCCTTCTAATGTATATAACAGATAAATTGAGAATTTTAAGGGCTGAAATCAGGTTTGGATTATCCATGAATGGATTTATCCACAAGTGTGTACATTCTCCATTTTCAAACTGCTCTAGATAAGTCAAATTAACCTCAAAGTGGGGAACCTGGGAGCTTCTAGGGGTTGCTGTATGGTAACTCCCATCACACATCAAAATGGACTATGCTGACTGAAGCTGTTACAACAGCAAAATCTACAACAGCAAAATGTTCTTCACCTTTCAATCGAATTGCAGGAGTGATATGCTGACCTAGGTGAGCAGAAAAAATATGTTTCCTCATATTTATGCAATGCATGTGCCATGAGTTATATAGGACAAGCTGTTGTCTTGGATGCTTGGAATTTCTTCCTTGTTTCCTTTTAATTACGACAGAGAGTCAAAGAGTGATGGAGAACAAGGCTGTGTGTTGATTGGCATGAACAACTAACGTATAGAGCCCATCAAAATGTTACAAAAGTGTTCACAGTAGGGCCTTCAGGTCTCTCACCCCATATTTTGTTCTGCTGTTCTTTTCCCCTTAAGAAGCAGAAAGAAAATTCCTCTGCCACCGCCATTTGAATCTGGTCATCCCCTTCAAAAAAAGTAGCCAAGGTAGCAAGGTGAACTGTTTCTTCCATTCTTATTTACCAACTGTCTGCATAGGTATGCAAACAAGTATTTCTTGCGCTCTTTAAAGCAGTCACATCTTTTTCTAGAGTTCTTTTCTAGAGTTACAAACAGATGCTATATTTGCCCTCTGCTCCAAACTGGATTTTGAGAATCAAGTACAAAACATATAACTGTGTATTTCCAGAAATTACGTTCAGGTTTTCGTGGCAACTGCAAGAGACAGTTAGATTTTCATAGAGACTTTCTACCTACTTAACATTGGCTTTACAGCATATCTAAATCTTTCTCATTCCAATCAAGTTCAGATTGCTGAGCTCTGGTTCAAATGAAACTATGTTTTAAAGGCATGATGATGCCTATACTAGGGCAGAAAATTTTCAGTCCCCAAGGAAATATTTCCTTTGTCTGGATAATCTTTTTCATGGCGTCACTTCTTGGCACAGTAAAAAGGCCAAGCTGTCCTCTCTGACAAAACTAAATTGAGGTGTGGGTGGCTGGCCGGAGGACTGGCTAGTTTTAAATCCCCAAGGGATCTTTAAAAAGTTCAGTTTAATTCAGAGCTCAGATGTGCTGGATTCATTTCTTTTCCGGGAGTTTCTCTCTCAAGCTTTCTTTCTTAGGTTAAAAAAAAGGATCGTCAAGATGAACGAGACATAACATGTTGAGGCAGTTCAGTATAGCTGCTAGAAGAAACTAGCCTAGAGTTCTTTTGTTTTCTACAAATCTGCTATTAGAATTCCCAAAAGTCGGAAGAAAAAAATCCACCTGGTTTTCAGAGAATCATCTGCCTGGTGGGTAATAACCTTGACCGGCCAGCCTATCCCCCTACATTTAGCTGCATAACAGAGTTGCCCCCTTTCACTTTCCCCCTTACTCCCCAATCATCAATTAAGAGAAATTATGAAACTATATTTTGATGACAAGTTGGGGATGGGGGACAAAGATGGCCCTGTGCTAAAAGTATGCTACAGGGAAGTGCCAAGTGGTTGGTGGGGTATTCCGGTACCAGTTATTTTTGGAACATTTCCTCAACCACACATTGTCTTGCAGAAGCCGAGGAGCATTTTCTGCTTAATCCTTCTGAGCGAGAACATGGGAAGCATACGGAATCAATTAAAAGAAAAGGATAACAAATATTCCAAACCTAGTCTATACCCACCACAACTATGGGATTATTCTGAGAATTGAGAATCTTGACAAGGCCCATATCAGGGGTAAAACGAGGAGTGATTCTAGATAAGCTCCCAATCCATCCTCCTATTTCCAAGTGATCAAATAAAAAATTCTGGGAATCAACAGCCCTCTTTCATTCTTCCTTGATATGAAAGGAAAAGATTACCTTTGAAACTACCATTTTGATTTCGCTCCAAGACCCTCTGATAAGACTTTGTTCCCCCATAAATTGCTCTGTTTTAAAATCAATGACTGGCTGAGGATTACAGGAATAGCATCTAGAGGTGTGATGGCGAACCTACGGCATGCGTGCCAAAGGTGGCACACAAAGCCCTCTCTGTGGGCATGCTCGCCATCGCCAATTGCTCTTCTGCTCTTTGAGTTTCTGGGGCTCCGGCGTGCGCACATGCATTCCGTTTTGGACACTCGGTGCCGAAAAGGTTTGCCATCACTGATCCAGAGTGTATGATAAATGCCAAATTAAAGAAAACTGATTTTAAATTCATAGCTACTGCATCTTCTGGTGCATCTAGGCTGAATTGAATATGCAATAATTCAAAAATCTCTTTTTTTGCTACTTCTGAATCTTTTGCCAGGTTAATAAAAAGATTCTGAATATTTCTTCCTCCGTAGCAAGCTTATTTTATAAACCTCTAAACCTACCCCTCGGTTATCTTTTTTGACTCCTAAATTATATGCTCATACTGTGCTATCTGAGGATGATTTTTGCATGAAGCTACTAGGATCTTCTCGTAAACGGGAACTTGACATTTGTCAGGTTGGAGAGATCAGAAACTGAAATCAGTTGTGCAGTGGTTGTCAACTAGGCATGCTGAACTATTGTCTACTCAGAGGGCATCTGCCATGCTTGAGATAGGATAGATCATTGGCTCAAACCCCACATTTGGGGGGTGGGGAGCAGAAAGCAGAACTGAAAGATGGAGCAAATGGAAACAAAGATTCTTAATCAGAAAACAGAAACTTGGAAATACATTGACGTGTATATGCTATTTCAACCAATACTAATTGCTTAAAAGGGCAGCTTTTTTTTTTTTTTTTTTTTTTGTACTTTGGAAGCTATTGTACCCTTGGAAAATTTCTTCCTGCCATTGTTTCCATTGTAGAAAGGCAATACTCTATAAATCGTTAACATTTGAGGTTTTGGTCAAGCATTCCCTTTCAGTCGTTTTTACTTAAATTTTATGTTCTAGCTACGTGATATAATTGGAGGATTTTTTTCCCCCGTGATAAATAGAAGTTCTTGGATTTTACATCCCATAGAATTCTACTTAACAATTCTACCAAACAAAATTAGTGCTGTGGTATTGCATACAATTATGTAAATGTAGCCTTTATCTAGACTCAGGAGCAACTCTCCCACTTGATCTCCTTGTTCTATATTTATTGATAGTTTTGCTCACTACTGATTTTTTTTAAAAAAGTACATTCATCTCAGTATTCCACATACAGTCTTTACTTAAATTTAAATGCACTATTTTCGTTCCACTTTTCCTGTGTAAAATTCCAAATAAGGAGAATATTGATTTGAGGCCGAATGATGTCTATTTTAATTTCCTGCTCATTTTTTTAAAAAAATCCTATGATTGACTGGTTTTTCAACAGAAGTCCTGTTGAAAAGAGAAGTTCAAGAGCAATAGCAATAGCAGTAGACTTATATACCGCTTCATAGGGCTTTCAGGCCTCTCTAAGTGGTTTACAGAGAGTCAGCATATTGCCCCCAACAATCTGGGTCCTCATTTTACCCACCTCGGAAGGATGGAAGGCTGAGTCAACCCTGAGCCGGTGAGATTTGAACCGTTGAACTGCTGATCTAGCAGTAGCCTGCAGTGCTGCATTTAACCACTGCGCCACCTCGGCTCTAAGAGAAGTTAAGGTATTTTAAAAATAAACATTTTTACACCGTAAGTCTTTATTACCAATAATCAATTTTCTACCCTGGTTCACTAAAACCCTTTGCCATGGGAATTTGGATAAGCTGCTCTGAATTTTATAAATCAGAATTCGCAACTGTAATAGAATGGCTAAGCCTGTGATGAGGCGTTTCTTTCTCTTAAGCCTTTTTGTCTCCACATCTCCTATAGCAGCTTGTCAGCTCCTGTTGTCACTTCTTTGTCTCTGGAACTTCACCTGTCATGTCACCTCCTACCTTTGTTGTAGGAGAGAAGTAGGGCTCTCACAATCTGTGCTGACTTTCTGGCGAGTTAATGATAAAAATACAAGAAAGCAGCATGATTTCATAGCACAACCTCCTGGCCATGTAACCTAGAGGTTTGTGTGTAAAAAAGATTTGTCCCCTTTTTCCTTCCTTGAGACCAATCCCATTAAATACAAACAAAATCAAATTTAACTTTTTTAAAAAAAAAATTAAAAATATAACGTGCTCTTTAACTTCAAATATAAAAATGCAAGTATTTATTGCTGTTAAAGATAAATAACAGCTGTTCGGGTATCAATGCTGTGGTCACCAATTTAAAAGTTACAAAGAAAATAAAGTGCTCCCAGTGGCCCATCAGATGGTACTGGATTGTTATAAATTGCACATTCTCTCCTTTTCTAGCTATTTTTTGGTGCAATACTATGTCAAGCCTGATGTTCCCAGTACAAATAAGGAAGCTGAATGTGTAACATCAGCCATTTGTCTATGTCAGGCTGGACATGATGATATTTATTTTATTTATAATCTGTATGCAACCAAGAGTCATGCCTTGAAAGGTGGATTGTATGTCAGAGCCTGAGAAAATGTGTATTGTATATCTGAGTTGGCAGCTTGTGCAGGCGACAGCCCCAAACAATAAATATACTTTTGTCAGGCAGGTATCTTCATTTAGGTAAGAACTGTTTTACCAGTGGGCATGAGCTTTATCTATTTATTTTCAGTGTTGTTGAGGAAACCACACATAGAGAAAGAGTTGCAAGCAAATAATGGCAGTGGCAAGGATGAGAAAACTGCTCGGCAAACAATCAGATTTTTCCTCATCCACTCTTTTCCTGCCACACATTGTGTCATTCTCTGAGTATCTCAGAGGTATGATCCATATCATTCATTGTTTTAATGAAAATCTGTAGAACGTCCTAAAGATTTAAAGTTTCATATTTCTCTTCTTAATTGATGGGAATTAAATTCCAGATAAGTTACTGTACATTTCTGGCTTTTTTTTAGAGATACCAAATTTTAATAGGATACAATGCTATACTCTTGATTTTGATTCACTGTTATAAAAGTGAAGAATTGTAAAGTTGTACATATTCAGCATTACTGAAATGTCAGATTTGTTTTGGTCCACTTACAAATTACAAATTCAGTAATTAATTCAAACAAAGCTAGCCTTGTTAATCCATGAATGTTTGGATGTGCTTTGCTTTTTTCAGTGTCTTTTTCGCTCATGATAATAAGGACACTTACATCATGCCTGTTTTCAAAAGTGCATCTTTCTATTCATCCTCACTATTTTTCCCCTACTTTCCTTCCCTACATGTGCATGTAATTGTCAATAGTAATGCATGCCATTCTTTCTCATCCAGAATGAAAATATTGAAAATCAGTTAGATGGCATTAACAGTCGCAAGCTCTATGGTGTCTCGGTGTTCTGGGGAACTGGAACATGAGAATTGTGGCGGAGAAATGTGAAAAGCACTATATAACTGCAAAAAACTAAGTTTCAACCAAAAACATCATTTAAGAGTATAAAATGCTTTATAGTCTTTACTAAGTGCCTCAGACATAATTTAAACCATATTTTATAGTTTATAATCCATCCATATCTTGGTGCAATTTTTAGAAATGAATTATGAGGGAGAAATTAATTTTTGCAATTGTTTCCTAGATATTTTTATTTTTTTCAGTTCTGATGTTGCTTAATCTTTCCATGCTCTGTTGATGGTTGCTAGTCTCCTTGCCTTACAGGATTATGATGATCTATGCCAACTTGGGCCAAGTTACAACAGGTGTTAAAATGGCACAGGACAGTTGGTGTCCTGTCCATTACTCAATACCTGTTGCAGTAGCCCCCTACTTTTCGCCATCCAGTTTGACTTTATATATAGTCTCTCTCTCCCCCCCCTTTTCTCATTCTCTCTCTCCCTTCCTTCCTCCCTCTCTCTCTCTTCCCCTCCCTGCAGCTTACAACAAATCCAGCATCATTTTTTTTATTTGGGGCACCTTTGTGGGGACTGTGTACAAAGTGTATGAAGTTTTAGATCCCATAGTTCCACCAAACTATCACAACTGAATCTCAAACTTGCTTACAATTTTTGCCAACATTAGGGAATTTGCATGAATTAGTTGCCTGAGACTATAGTTTCCTGTCTTCTGTTAGGACTTGTCTGCTTCCCCCCCCCCTCCCTTTGCAGGGGAAGGGAGCTTTGGCTACAATAGGATTTTTTTTTTTTGGGTTGTCTTACCCAATAGAGTGCTTGTGCAATTCTGAAGAGTCTGCAGCCCAACACTGAGGTCGGCTGAGGATACAGGAACTTGTTCAGCTGCTGCAGCTTGCAGGATGTGAGAAGGTTGATTAGCCAGGCTCTGGCTTGGGAGGGGCAATAGTGCAGGCTAGGCAGCCTGGAAAGGTGCAAATTAATAATTTACTTCCTTGTAGGGTTGGGAGGCGTCATGCCTGTATGAATGTTATTTATGTGTTCCCATTTTCTGTTTAAATAACCTCTTACTTTTGAATACATAAAGGATGAAATTACAGGATAGCGTAGTATCTATCTTGGAATTCTAATTTCTAAGTCTTCCAAGGTGTCTTCTGCTCTCATTTTTCTTAAATCTAACTCTCATGCCTCTGAATGAATCCTGATGACATTCTTCTTCTTTCTCTTTCCCTCTCTCTATTCACCCCATTTTTCCCAGGACTCTACCTTGCAAGTGAACCTCACTCAACCCAGTCGTGCTAGCAGTTGCTCTGAAAGGTGAGCATAAAAGAGTTGTATAAGAGGCAGTGGGAAACTGGCATTGCAGTGGGGGAGATGCTGTGCTTTCGGGGGAGAATGCTACATGTTAGCCAGAGTCATATTTCTGGCTATTGTTCTCCTAAAAGAAAGGGAGATTCTTAACATTCTAAAATATTAAACTTCCCCTTTAAAACTTCCCCTATTGCAGACCAGAAACTTCATATCCCTCTTTTCCCTATGGTTTTCCTCTTGAGAAAGGTTTCATCTTCAGGCTTCCAGCTGACACTTTGTTAAACTGAGAAGCAAAAAGAGGAGAAATAAATAAAAAGCATAATGTTCATGATTACTTCGCACTTTAGGGTACAACCCTAGTATTGGGTATAATTCCCAAGTCTCCCCTAAGACCAAATTAATACCTTCCAAGTGCATCTGCTCTGTTCCATCCTAATGTTTTCCGTTTATTCTCGGCTGGAAAGCCAAAAAAATCCATGGAAAGAATTCTGCCTGGTGACCCACACATCTCCCACTCTGCTTCAGAGCTAATAGTTCCCAGCTGGGATCAGGCATAGCCAGGCAGGAAGTAACTATTTGGGCGAGTGATTCTTGCTTCTTATCTGTTGCCAAGGTGGGTCTGGGAAAAAGGAGAGGGAAACAGAAGTTTCTTTTGTGAGGCTGAGGCCACTAGAATTCTGCTCCAGGAGGTTGTTGGGAGAAAGGGACAGGGGGAGCAGGATAGAAGCAGGGGGATGTGAGAGGGAAGGACATAAGAAGAACCTGGGAATGTACTTAATTCTTACTTGAGCTGCAAAGCCTAATTGTGCTAATAGGACATTTAGATAATTGTGGTAATAGAAATAGAAAAATAGTTGATAATGCCACGAACACCTGCAGAGGCGAATTTGCTTATCTGCAGTAATATGTGGGGTTGGACTATCTGGAATTTGCTATAAAGAATCATGAATAGAGAGGAGAAGGAGAAGGAGGCATTCTTTTCTCTTTCTTCTCCCCCCCACTTTCTCCGATGCGCAAATGCCAAGACCTCTCTCTGTATCTCTTCCCCGCTCATCTCAGGCAATCCAGCCAGCATCCTTTCCTCAGCTGAGCTCCTTCGTTTCCCAAATTCTTGGCAGCTCTTCTGTATAAACAGCTTATTTTTAGTCTGAGGTTAACAGTGCAAAATCTCAGACCAGTTTCCCAGAACTATGGAAGAAAGGGGATTTTTGGGGCGGTGGCAATATTCTTCCCTTTTCCTTATAAAAAAAAAGAGGGAGACTTGGGAATTATACCCCAATATGTATGTGACTGGGTAATACAGTGCTGCTGTTATGGCTTAAAATCTGGCTGTAATCAGTGGAGGCTCCTGATCCATCCAATGAAAATCCATAGAGTGAGATAGATAACATCAGGATCCCAGCAAATTGGATTTTTTTGGAGCAAGGAGTGGGGGGAGTGAAAGAGATAGGTCTACTCTTAAGGAAAGATCAATTAGTCTCCTTTCATATGTATTAGTGTAAGTCTGGCTGATGTCTGTTGCTTCGTCTCTGTTTGCTGTCTTCAGGTCTTTGCCGGTGACTGAAGAGACACACAGTCTTATCTCAGAGAACTGTGGAAGGATGCAACATGAACCTGATGCTATTGTGAAAGGTGGGAGCTTAGATTTGTTTCTCTCCTCCACTGCCCTTTCAAATTAAAAAAAAAATCTAATGGTTTTAAAGCTGAAGGGACTCAGCTTTTTTCCATCTTCCAGGTTGGCTGCAGAGAGAGGTCCGAGGAGGTATTAAAACTCCCTGGCTGCGTCCTCGCAAATACTGGTTTGTGTTGACAGAGGATTCTCTGGACTACTACAGCGGGTGTGATGTGAATGCCCAACGCCTTGGATCCCTTGTTCTCACCAGCCTCTGCTCTGTGCTCTGGCCTGACAAGCAAACCTATAAGGAAACAGGTAAAGATTGTCGGCTTTTGCATTGTTAAACTATTTTGTGCTCAGCTTTAATACCATTGTAGTTTCTTTGTGGCAACAGGAATGAATGATTTCAGCAAAGGCTTGTTTTTTTAGTTTTGTTACTAAGCTATGGTCAGCCACTAACATAACCATAGTCCATAGATTTATTTAAGAAGTATTTTTAATTTTTACCCCCTTTTTGCGAAGTGAAAATATAACCCACACATTTTAAGAAAGTAGGTCAAAATTCTTTATACTTATCTATGATTATCTTCATGTTAATTATATATGAGTACTTCTCTCTCCCGTTCCTGCAGGCTACTGGGCAGTGACAGTTTTTGGCAGAAAGCACTGCTACCGACTGTATACAGAACACTTAAATGAAGCTGTACACTGGGTTTGTGCTTTGCAGAAGGTTATCATCAGCAAGGCCCCTTTGCAAACCCCCACACAGCTCCTCATGCGTGACATTGAGGTGAGGAACCAAATGAGCACAAGGACATGCCGTTGGGAGTAGGAGTGGGGGCGTGGTTAAATAGCAATAGGGATCTGGGAGAGAATTTTGGCAGAAATAGGCAAGGGAAACATGCAACGATATTTCTTTGAAGTGGGGACAGAAAAAGATAATGCAATGTTTTGAGTGGGCCAAGAATTCAATCCTTTATGGTTAAATTGGTAACTTTGATTTCAGTGTCATTTTAAGTGCATCAAAATGTTTTTATGTTTACTTTTTAAAACCACATGGCAGTGAACAGATCTTGTTCAAAAAGGTGCTATGAATATTCATTAAATTCAATTTCAGTTAGTTATTTGTAAGTGTAAAGATGCAGATAGTCCTCAACTTATGACCACAACAGTTGCTAAGTGAGTTTTGCCCCATTTTACAACATTTGCAACATTTCTTCCCACCACTGTTCTGTGAATCATTGCAGCTGTTACGTTAGTAACACGATTGTTAAGTCAATCTGGCTTCCGCATTAACTTTGTTTGTGAAAAGGGGATCACATGACCTTGGGACACTGCAAGTATCATAAATATGAACCTGTCACCAAGTTCCTGGATTTTGATCACATGGCCATGGGGCTGCTTCAATGATCATAAATGTGAAAAATAGTCATAAATCACTTTTTCAGTTCTGTTGTAACTTCGAATAGTCACTAAATGAATAAATTGAGGACTACTTGTATTTCTGTTATTTAATTTCAATTCATCTCCATAGCTGTACTATTGTACATATGCATTACGCATTCCTTCTAAGATTTCCATTATAAAATACAGATGAAGATTGGAAGGTTTTTGAAGCCTCTGCATCACAGATAATGGCAATTACTGAAGTGTCATGCCCTTTACAAAAATACCAGCTATCTTAGCATGTTCTGCTTAGGAAGGTGCTATGTTGGAATGTGGCAACTCCAGAGATTGGGTCCCAGTTCTAAGAATGATGAAGGTTCCTGAAGAACCTAGTGTTAATTTTAGTAATCTTAATGAGTAGAAATATAGATTAGATCTCTCTCTTCCCCCCACATTTTCCTCTCTCTATTGCAGGAGAACCACAACAGCCCAGAAATCTTGGATCAAATTTATCGCAATAATCCCATCCTATGTTATACAGCTGGCCCAATTTATGCACCTCTTCTGCCCTTCCCTTATGCAGGTGGGTAGGGTTTCTTGGCTAGTAATCAGAATCCTTAACTTATTGACTTCATTATTTGCTATGTGCTAAAGTTGTGTTGCTTATGGTTTTTCAGGAGCATGGCCTTGAGGGACCCTCCAAAACTCACCACCCACTAAAATTTAAGATGCCAGAAAAGGAACATTGTTAAATATTTTAAAAAATTATTATATCAATTGTATTGAATTTAAATGAAAATAAATCCCATACCACTCAATATTTAAAGTACTTGACCTAAATACAAACTGTGTGCATGAAATATACCAGTTCTCTCCCTACAGAGAAAATGAGAGCAAGGGCTTAAACAGATCTTAAATGTTGTTTTCTTATCTTCTCCTCCTCACACAAACCTTGCCCAATTTCGCAGCTCAGGGTGGCCAAGGCTATGCAGGACTTCGTGATGAAGCCGTCAAACTTTTCCATTCACTACAACAGCTTGAAGAATTGCGAGATCCAATCCTTCTCATGCAGGGGGTGCTGCAAACTTGCCATGACCTTCCAGCCCTGGTGGATGAAATATTCTGTCAACTGGTGAAACAGACAACAGAGCCCCCTAATCCAGGGGCACCCAAAGATTTGCGCTATTGGCAGCTGCTTGTGTGCATGAGCTACACGTTTATACCTTCTGTGCCTATACTCTGCTATTTGCATCTGCATCTGCAGCGGTGAGCCAGGGAAATGGGAAACATTGTAAAACATGCCTAATGCAGAAATGGAAACTTGGGAATTCCACCTGTTGAGGAATTATAACTCCTAGCATCTTTCATCATTAGCACTTTGCTAGTTGGTGCTGCTGGTAGCTGTAGTTCAGCCACAGTTGGATGGCCATGAGTTCCCATTCTTAGTGAAAGCCTTTGGTCACAAACTGTGGTCTGAATGCAGACCAACTGGCAAAAACTATTTCACCCAACCTGAGGGAAATGAAAGGGGTGGGGGAGTGTCTGTGTTCAACATCCTTCCTTGTTCTATATGCAGGAGCTCTTATTCACAAGGGTGTGAATAAAGATCCCTCCCTTTTTAATGTGTTCAGAGACAATATAGTTCCAGTTTGCCAATACATTTCCATTAGGACTGCTTATGGCCTAGTAGGCAGGAAGTGGATTAGAAAGAGAATTCATTTGACATATTTAAGCAATGTGCAAAGCAGACCTTTAGAAGGATTTTTTTTGTAGATGCAGTATTCTTCACATATCTATTTCTTTATTCTTCAGTTTGATTCAGAATGTTTAATGAACAATATTTGAAAAACAGCTTCAGTCCAGTAGGAGCCTCTAAAACCCTGAAACCCTCCACCTAAAACCTTCCAAACAATTTCATGTGTTAGTAATTTTTTGAATTTCTTAAAATTTTGTTCAAAAAGTTAAAATACAAATTCCCAAAAAATAACAAGCAACCAAAAAAAAACCCCCAAATGGACAGAACATTAAAAATGTGCATTAAAAAGGACAAAAAACAAAATTTATGATTATTATCCCCTCTGATTACTGACAAATATATTGCAACAATCCTAGTTTTTCCCTCTCGTGAAGCAGGCCCATAGTCTAAAAAATTCCTACATCTATTTACTATAGGTAAAAACAAAATAGTTAACAGGTAAGTCAACAGCAAAATTAAATTTCAAAGCCCTTTGTTAACAATCTGTAATTGTACTCAGGATCAAATATCTTAATAATAAAACTTTCCCTTAAGATTTTTAGTGGAAGTTTTCCCAATAATATCTTATTTTCCAATAAACTAAACCTCTGCTGTAAATATTTCCACCACATCCATTGTTGAACCAGTCTACTGTGAACCAAGGTATAAAGCCTCTTGTTAGTTTTTGTGTGGTTAGATATAATAAATCCATTTTCAAAAATCAATCCATCTTCCCAGAAAAATCTCATCCAAATTATTTAACACTATGATATGATAAATTCATCTTAACAGAATCCAGTTGATTCAGTCATCAAATTTGCCAATTGTAAATCTGTAAAATCCAGATGATCTTCAAATTTCTGCAACAGGCCTCCTGCTTTCCAGCCAAACTGCTCCTTCTTCAGATCTGTCAGCATAAACTTAGATTCTAGTCCATCCATTTGTTTGTCTGGCTTGGAAGGGTATTCTCTTTAGGTTTATTTAATTGCAGGTAATTTTATTAAGCTTTTAACCAAAGGTTTTGAAGTTGTAGGTTAAAAAAAACTTTTTTTTTCTGTGAAGATGGCCCGTCAGGCTTTATCTTTAACTTGGTGCATTATTTGCATTTTTAATATAAGGCAGATTCTCTTGTATTTGAACTTATACAACAGCAGAAAACAAATTCTTTCAAAAACAAAAAGGATAAATTTTCTGCAACAAAACAGAACATTGAAGAAAAAGAAAGAAAAGGAAAAGTTCCATCATAAATTTAAAAAGAAAAAAAATTCTGTAGCAAAATCCCATATAGATGTGAATCCAATCTGGTCGGTTTACTCAGAAAGTTGTCAGTTAGGTTCATAATAAAAGCCAAAGTAGCTCAGAGTAGAAATCAAAAACAGTAAAGCAAGGAAGGAAATTTAACATTAAAATCCAGCAGACTGGATTTGAATAAATAGATTAAGAATAAATCAGCCTTCAACCAGTCAATTAACTTTGAAAAATAAGAAAACAATAACACTTTGAAATGTGCTGTTAAAAGGTTTGCTTAAAAAGCAAATAGCTAAAAGAAAGATGAAAACCAGAAGTCTCCATCTGCCCCTACTAGGAATTGCAACCTCCGGGATTCCTCTTCCCAAGAGAGTCCATGGTCATCCAAGATTGATCTTGGATCATTCCTAGCTGTTCCCATATGATCTGGCAGTCAAGGTACCTGCTTTGGCAGCAAAATGGGTGGCTTATTGACAGGAGAAGCAAATCCCGATCACCACCACCCAGCATGCCATCCTGGAGGGAAGTCAGTGCAGTATTCTTATTAAAGAAACTTAATGGAATCACTCACTTAATATCATATCTTCCCCGACCTAATAGGGTGGAGAAAATGTTTCCAAGATCACCGGTGACCCACTATGGACATTTAATCACACAAGCCCTGCACAAAAGCAAAGGGCAGGAGTGTGTGCCCTCCTTGGATGAGATTGCGACACTAATAGGAAGCCAGGAAATCCCACAGTCCACGCATTGTTCTGGCACTACTACCTGTTATGTGACCATCACATCTAATGCTACAGCCCAGAAGGTGAGAAGATTGCTTAATTGGTGGGATGCAAAAAAGGGTCTGATACTAGTAATATAACTTCTACCTCCTCTTAGAAATAGCAAGTTCTACAACTCTAGTTTCTTACCAACAGTGAAGAGTTAGTCTTATATAGAATCATTTAACTATGTAGTCTGGTAGAACAATTACATTTGGCTTCTTATTCTCCATATAAATTGCTAAATCAGTTTCTTCCTCCCCTTATCTCGTTTTTCTTTCTTCAGCATGTTTGACACATGACGTTTGCAGCATTGAGTACTTTCCTATTGGACATTACTAGGCCTTTTGTCATTCCCCCCCTTTGTCACCTTATCCCAGGTGACTCAAGAACTGATGTTGCATTTGGGTGTGACCTGAATCCCCAACTTACTTATTTTCCACATGGAGAACTGGCAGCATAAGCAACCCTGTTCAAAGAATGTATTAAATAGTTTTATCAGGTATGGAAAAAAAATTCCCATTAAAAATATGTGTGTCAGTTATAGCTAAATTGAAAAAAGGGATCAAGGGTTGATTGTGTTTATAAACTTGATTGGAAAAAAAAAGAGCAAAAGCTAGAGCCTATCTGGCTGCAGCAACCATTATGCCATCAGACTGGCTTATATGAGGGACCACCTATTCCCAATTACATCCACCAATCCCATAAGATTCTTCAGAAGAGGTGTGATCTGGGTCCCATACATAAGGGATCCAGGAAGGGAAGCTTTTTACAGTTTGGTTGCAGATCTTGTGTAGGTTTTTATTTATCATTTTTATATTGTATTTTGTTTTTAAGAATTATTGGGCAACAGATAATGTATTGAGAGATAGTTGTATAAAATAGATGAAGGAATACATAAATAAGAGTAGCAATAGCACGTAGACTTATATAGCGCTTCACAGTGTTTTACAGACCTCTCTAAGTGGTTTACAGAGTCAGCATATTACCCCCAACAATCTGCAACCAACCATTTTACCTTCCTCGGAAGCAGAGATGGGTTGCTCTTGGTTTGGCCTGGATCGGGCAAACTGGTAGTGGCAGTGTTGGGAGGCTCCGCCCGAACACTTCTGTGCATGCGAAGAAGCGTTGCGCATGTGCAAGAGCAAACCGGTAGTAAAAAAAATGGAAACCCACCACTACTCGAAAGGATGGAAAGCTGAATCAACCCTGAGGCTGGTGATATTCAAACTGCCAAATTGCAGGCAGCCGGCAGAAGTAACCTGCAGTACTGCATTGTGTACCTGCAGTACTCCACTGTGCCACTATGGCTCTTGTAGTATGCTTTTGCAAGGGAGAAGCCTCCCTTTGTCAAGTCGGGACAAAACTAAGCAAAATAAACATTCAAGTTTGCAAGACTTTAAAGCTGCAATTTGGAAACAGTGCATTCTATAAGTCAGAAATCCATATTGTTAACTTTGAAATATTAGGAAATAGTCACTCAAACTAAGGAGATTTCTATTCCTACCCCAATTTCTTACCTAAAGGTGTAGCTATGGTAGGCAGGCATTCTAGCTATGGTGGGCAGGCATTATAGTGGAAACTTAAGAAACTATGGTTTTTCAATGTGAGTTAAATCCTTTGCAACAGCCAGCAGTGTGCACTGTTTTTTACTGCTGGAGATAAGGTCATGAGAGGTAAAGCCCAAAGTGGAGAAATTTGTTCCAAAATTAACATGCGTTTTCTGCCGGTTTGTTGTTTCAGCCATATAAACTGTCTACCAGTAGTAGTATTCTATCTTTAAGGATACATTCAGAATTTGAAGGGCAACTTTGCTATGCCTCTGCTTCAACCAGCTTTTTTGTATTATCCTGATTTATTCTTATGATACCTTCGCATCCTATAACTATATCCTATTACCTATCTCCAGGATCTTTTTTGTTAGGGCACTGTCTGTTGGACTTCGGATCTTCTTTGGCCAAGCAGTAAGTAGAGAAGCAAGAACATCTACACAGTGGTACCCTGAAGGCTATTTTTCTGATATGGGCCATCATGAACAATCAGAAGAAATGAAGTATGGGACAACTGAAGGTCATGGAAACTTATTTGAAGAAGTCTGGAAAGTGATTAGCTCTGCCCTTTCCAGGGTATTCTCAGGTGAGTTACTCCATCTGGAGAATATGAAAATAGATTGGTACCAATTTGGACAAAGCCACTTATGTGAAAGGGCACATGGAAATATTTTAGGAGTCTGGTTAGGATCTTAATTAGGACTAAGAATTATTCTTCTTTCTATTAAGAATAGTTGATGCATATGAGAATTGTCCAGAGGCAATTTAGATAGTTGATTTCATTTTAATATCTTTGATGGGTGAGTTTTGCTTTAATTAATGTATTGCTGCAAACATTCACTGTTCCTCCACCTTTATACATAGTTAGCCAATGTATCTTTTTCCCAACCCCTGAGTCAACTTGTTCTACTCCCAGGGGAATGCTAACCTTTAGGACTTTCAGGTGAGCTGCATAATATTCCAAAATATAATAGGCCCATATTGCTTAAGTGATGAAATTCCTGTCATTCACACTATGTACAGTAACCCAGCAGGGAAAGTCGAAAAAGCTTATTTGATTTTGAAATAATGCCAATCTATAACTGAAGTGGTGCTCTCGGTAAGTAGTTACAATCATATCCTTGCTGTATATTGAGACTATTACAGAAATTTGATACAGATGAATAAATGTAGGTGTACACATTATTTGTCCTAGTCTAACTTTTTTTAAAAAAATATGCTAATACTTTGTTAACAGTCTGTACATCTGTACATCAAGATGAAAGTCTGTTCAGTATGAGAAAAGGGATCAATAACAAATGCAGGGGTGTTGACAGAAAGCTCTGCACTACTGTACCATTCTAAGTCCAGCTGTATTACAGTGTGTGACATTTGATTAATGTATGTTAAATTTAACATAAAAGTGTAAGAACATGGTTGCTTGAACTCAGTGTATATATCTATAAACCCCATGTAGTTTGTTTAATATGGCAAAAAACCAAGTTGGTTTTACCCAACTTTGACAAATTTGAACAAAAAACATATTCTTACTAGGTTGCTAATTAGCAATGCGTGCAGGTTGATTGAAGCAAACTAAGTTCCACAGACAGTTGTGGTATTCAGAACATTTCTATATGTTCTGTGTCCTTAACATTTCTCCAGCTTTTCTGACTGGAAGGATATATATACCAAACCCTTCTTTAATTTTCTCTTTGTTTTGGGGTTGTTCAAGAAGCAGAAAGTATTTGGAAGGCAGCTATATGCTGGGAGGACCTTAGTGTTTATCTGATACCAAAGACCTGTTGTTTTCTTTTTTCAGATGAAGACAGTTCTGCAGCATCAACAGACAAGCATGTTCAACATCAAGAGCTCCCAGAAATCACATGAACAGGGAAATATTCCCCAAAATGCCAGTGGTAGAATTTTGAGTTGACTCCTAGGTATCCTGGCAAATGTTTTGGATCAGCATATATTCTGGTCATTTGAAAAGAATAATAGTGATACTGTTTGCTCCTAAGGAGCTGATAAATTATGTCTTCTATTCAGAGGAATTCTTTGTTTTCCACATCTGTTCTAATTAAATACTTTTTATACAAAATGTCTCCTTGTCTCCTGTGTAAAAAAAAACAAACAGCTTTGTTGCAAAGAAAGCTGAAAAGTTTTACTCTTCATGCCCCTTTTCTTCATCTGGATAATACCTGGCGCACTATTCCTACTGACAAAGTCTACCAAACAATGGATAAAGAAACTAGCCAGAGCCATTTTCTTTCCTGTGGTTGTCTCTTAAGAATATATATTAAGGAATAAATAGCAATTATTTAGAGGTAGTCCTTGATTTAACTGTTTGAATAATGATGGTGCTAAACAGAGGGACTTACAACCCCTGCCCAAAGTTACAGGCACTGCAGCAGTCCTGTGTCATGTGAACAAAATTTGGGTGTTGGCAAGTCTTCCTGCCATTATGAATTGCATTCTGGACATTACATTTGAGAAGGAAAGCTGGTTTGTCGGCCTCTCAGCTTCCCTGCATATTAGGAGATTGTAGTCTCAATATAGGAAGTCCACATGGTGAGACAAACTATGAGAAGAGTGCTGTCCCAGCAGGATGGAAAGCACAGCATGGGCTTTTTCAGAGTAGGATAGTACTCAGGGCAGGCCATATGGGAGCTGGAGAGGTGCTGCAATGCAGGCTTGGCCTGCAGTAAGTATCCCAGTACCTTCCCCGTCACTGAAACACCCCTTCGTTCATTTGATGACCAATGAGAAGAGCAGGGATTGGGTTTGTTAAGGCAATTATGGGGCTCCCTTAATGACTGTCACAACATGTGATTAGTGGTGGTTCCATTATTGTAAGGGGGATTATCTGTAGCTTTATTGTGGAATATTGCTGATCAAGATATATTAAAAGGATGGCTATAATCTCTACACATTAAAGCTAAAAAATACCAACATATTTTTCCAAGCACTTGTACCTTCTTTATTAGATAGTCAACATCATAACTTACTTTCTAATCTTTCCATGGGAATCCAGAAATTATGAACATGTTTTAAAGGCAAAAAGAAAAAAATGCTTCTAAATGCTTGCAACTATTTTTCACATAAAGAGAAATAGCTTATACAATAGATAAAAAATTGTTTTAAAAAACTGGTAACTTTCTTAAAATTAAGCCCTGTTCTGCTTTCCTGATGAACACAAAACTTTAAACCAGAATATACACTCTCCCAAATAGCAAGATAATGACTTTTCACAAAACCCGATATACACAATGCTATAATAAAGCATTATCTTTTTATTTTACTTTTCCCAAAAATTAGGCTAATGGCAATCCGGCTTCCAAAATTCTTTCCAAGCCTGCTCCATTGTAAATCACATGACTAGAAGAGAAGGGAGGGGCTTAAAAATAGCAAGGTCAGCAACATTCAGAAGCACTGCCCAATAGCCTCTCCCATAGATCATGTATCGGCTGAAATTTCTCCAGATTGTTTTTCTCCACAGTGATTAAATTGCTTTGGCTTATTTTCTAATCTTTATTTAGCCAGATTCTCCCCTCATAGCAAATCTGGTCCCATTCGTTTTTGGAAAACTATCCTGCGGAGAGTCCCAAACTTCTTCACATACTTTACTTTCTGGCATTCCATTAGGCAGGAAAGCATAAAAAGGATATCCCTCCACCAACCCAGTCTACCAGGTTTTTCTGTCAGCTGTTGGTATTCTGGCTCTTAACAAGACTACAATGAGTTCTGGGAGAAATACGGAATTGGTATAAAACTCCCTTCTCAAGACAGGATCAAATGAGGGCATTTACTTGCCACTTTCAGGGAGGAGAAAAGATGGGGGGAAATTAAGCAGAACTCTAAAAAGGAAAGAAAAAAAAGTATTAAAAATGGTCCCAGCTACCAGATGATCACCTGAAAGTGACAAGGGCAATAGAAGGATTAATGACACAGGAGCAGAGCAGATTAACTATTGAAAATCACTGGCAGGTAAACAACAGAAGAATAAAGTGAGCTGTCTCAAATGATATGAAATCTTGGTTATTATGGCAATTGTAATTTCCTGCATGTATGTCTTATAACATCTGCAATATATAAGCATCATTGAGGGATAGATTGAAAAATTAAAATATAAATAAGTCCGCCTATCAGTGACAAAATGAAGCAATTATTTGCAGAAGTAGGTTCACTATCAGTTACTATGTTTCTTCATTAGTGGCATAGATCACTAAACAGATACCCAGGCCTCTCCTGCCTATCTTACCCTTCCTGTTTTAATCTCACTTCATCTATTATATGCTAATGGATCTGCAGATTAAATGCTGAGTAATACAAAATTGCCAGAAATGTATGCAGGAAATACAGGTTTGGATTATTTAAAAATGCTTGTAGATATTTCTCTTCATTATCCACTCTGAGGCTTCTTCAGCAGAAACATGTTTATTTATTTATAGGGTTTGTATGCTGCCCACTCTCGAGAGACTCGGGGCGGCTTACAGATAAAAAGGAAGGGGGAACATACAAAAAATTAAAAAACAACATTAAAATTCCACAACATTCATAGCTTAGGGTGGGGCTGGAAAGATCAACAGCCCCAGGCCTGCCGGAACAGCCAGGTCTTGGTCGCTTTGTGGAAGGCCGGAAGGGTAGTAAGGGTCCGGATCTCCACAGGAAGATCGTTCCATA